TCTCTCTCTCTGATCAAATTAAAAAAAAAAAATTAATAAATAACTTAAAAGAAAAAAAAAAGGAGTCCAAGTGGTCATCCTCTAAGGCCCCAATGTCCCCTCCTCAGGAAGATAGCTTGGTGCGGAGGGACGGGCCTGGGCCTTCGTCCATGTACTCCCAGGAGCACTGTGATCTAACGACTTCAGGTGTCACCTTCCGTAAGTATACAGTAGGTGTGATGTGAGTCGACCGCGATAACGAGGCACAGCCCTGTGGCATGGTGAGGGCCATGTACGAGGACCCAGATTCGGACGACATAACATACCAGCAGTACCTCCCCCAGCTTCCCAGCACCTAGCAGCGCCTGCAGGCCCGAGGGCTGCTCCCTTCGGAAGGAATAGGCCAGGCCAGCCAGGCGGAGGTGAGGGGCTTCTTCCCACGAACCTCCTTAACTCAAGTAGGGTAAACGGATGAAGTCGTAAGAGCCTCGGGCTCTGCCGCCTGGGCAGGAGGACCGCGCCGTGAGCTCACCTGACAAGAATCCTTGCCTCTTTCTCTATAGCCACAGATCATCCCTCTCAGCACGGCCTCCCTGGGAAAGGGCAGGGCCTTCTGTATCATCTCATTGCATTTTTGATAGAGGACGATGTACTGGTCCACCTCCTGGAGAACTTCTGGCAAAAACTTTTCTACTGGAAAACAGAGACCGACAGCGCGCCAATCTGCACTGAAAGTGTGCGCCCACACACCCAGCATGCCCTGGGATAGGCGGGGCCGTCAGACACAGGAGAAAACCGACATTCGAAGCTGACAGGGGAGAGGACGATATAAGAAGCAAAACCAAGACAGAAGGAGGAAGAATATTCCAGAAGGAAGTCAAGGCCTCAACGGCCTGAGAAATCTGGCCTTGGTACTAATCGTGACAGGGCGTCCTGGGCTCAGTAGAGCACCTTTACTTTCTAGACCCGGTTCATAAACTTTGGACAGGGAATGCCCCAAAGGTTCGAAAGCTAGCCTCTCTAGGACCAGCAGTTGACATAATGGCTATGTCGCTGGTCTCCCGTGTAGTCGACCACAGTTCGAGTCCTGGACCTGGTGGCTTAAACTCACGCCAAGCATGTGTGCATGCATGCCCAAGATCCCGAGAGGAGAATGGAGAAGGGATTGCAGCGTGGCCATCCCCCTGGGGGGGTGATTTCTTGTTTTCTGTCTCTCTGTCTCTCTGGTGAGCACACGTACCCTATAGCAAAAACCTATCAAAAATAAAAAAGAAAAAGAAAGAAAGAAAGAAAAGGAAAAAAATAAAAAGAAATTTAGCCTCTCCCCAGGAACAGGAGGCCCTATAGCCTTGCCAACAGGAGTCTTCTGGCTCCATCTACACCCCCACTGACAGAGGTCCCCTCCCCATCAAGGCAGTACTTCCCATGAGGACCAGCTCTGACTGGCAGGGAGCTCATTAAGAACCTTCCAGCATGTGGTTCTGTCACCAGGGAGCCAGACCGGCCAAGCACGGTGCAGTGCCCACAAATCCACAGGAGACCTCGCCATGCGTTTCTTCTCCTGGCTGGGCAACTACAGTTCCCAGGACAGGCTGCGTTCTTTCCTAAATGGCTCCCATCACACATTCGTATTTCAGCTGAATTTCTGGGGTCTCCAAGCCAGCAGGGAACCACTGCCAGGCCCTCTGATAAACTGCTCCCCCTCACCCACCGGCCTCTTGACCCTCTCTTTGGCCTTCATGGCTACCCCAGGCTGCCTCCCTCTGCCCAGGGGTTGCTTCCTGCCGTGAAGACTCACCAGCTTCCGCTGTTCTGCCCCATCCAGTTACCCAGCACCTGGTCCCAGCCACCACCTGGAAAGCCGCCTGGGGAATGCAGATGGGCTGGATGGTGGTGGAAAAGTTCACGGGGTGGTGGAGGTGCAGGAGGGCAAGGTCGTTCTTCACGGTCACAGACGTGGTGAACCGAGGGTGGACGATGATGTTTCTGACCGGGACCACCACACTGGTGCTCTCTTCATAGATGCTCCGGTCTCCCATCTTGACACTGTAATGGAAACGGCTGTGGGGACAGCACACAGCCCTCCTGGAGACCCTGGGAAGCGTCCCTGGGCCTCTGTCACACATTTCAGACGCTTCCCGGCCTGGCCTCGACCTCCCCACCACTCTACCACGAAGCCCCGGTTCTCAGTCACTCTCCGAACAGGCTTGCTTGCCCCCTGGAGTATTCTCAGGAACCAGACTCCCCAGGCAGAATGCCTCCCATGTTCCCTGACTTTTTGTATTTTTTAAGAGGTTTTTGTCTTATTAGAGCGTGTGTGCTCGCCAGAGATAGAGAGACAGAGATAGCGAGAGTGAAAGAGAGAAATCTCCCCCCCGGGGTGGGGGGAGGCAGGTAGATGGCCACACCACAATCCCTTCTCCTTCATTCTCCTCCTGGGATCTTGGGCACACACACACACACACACACGTGTCTGGTGTGATTTTTAAGTCACCAGGTCCAGGACTCGAACTGGAGTTGGCCATGTGTGAGTCGGGCAACATGACCACTAGGCCATCTGCTGGTCCCCCCCCATGTTTGCTGTTTTGTTTGGCATTTGCCATCTGCCTGGACAAGGGAACCGAACGGTGTTTCAAGGGCAGGCTGAGAACAGGGCCCCCACCTGGCCACTTGCGCGCTCACCTTAAAATACAGTGGGCGGCGGTCAGGACCCACTGCGCGTTGATGAGGGAGCCTCCGCAGACGTGCTTGCGGTTGATCCTCACGCTCACCTGCCAGGGCCACTTCCCCTCGGCGGCGTCAACGCCTCCCACGATTTTCAGGGTGGAGTGACCGCACACTGAGGGGACGATAGAGAACGCAAAGAAGCAGGCCTGTCTGCCGGACTTCCGGGGGAAGTGCCCCAGGGAGCCGCCAGGTCGTCGGGGAGGGCCTGCTCCGCCCCAGGGGTCACCTTTGGCAAAGGGCACCAGCAAGATCGGGAGCCTGGTGGAGGCGGGTGGGGAGGTCCCTGGGGACCCCGCCATGGGGCCCCAGACAAGTTCAGTGCTTTCTCTGCTGCTGTTCCCTGAAGTGACGGGCGCTGGGGAGAGCTGCGTCGTCCCTTCCTGGGCCTCCCCCAGACCGGGCTGGAGCAGCAACCAGGCCAAGAGGCCCAGGAAACCGCAGCCCGGAGACGCCATGGGTACCGGCAGCCCCCGCGTGCGCCCCCTCGCGGCTGCTCGCGCCCTGCCCGGTGCTGGCGGGACGTGGGGGAGGGGGGCCGTCTCCACCTCTCAGATCCTCCACGGGTGTCCATCCAGAACGCCGCCCAGAACCAGGGCGCCAGTGAGGGCCCGGTTCCCCTTGCGGCTTCCTCAAATCAGGGCTTCATACACCAGACCTGGGCTTTGAGGTCTGGGGGCCGAAAAGATTAAGCCAAAGGAATAGGACACCTAAATTTAAAGGTATCTTTTAGGGCTTAAAAGATCCCTGGAGGGAGTGGTCCAGCAGATGGTGTGGTGGTTAAGGCGCTAGACTCCCACATGGTCGCCTGGTGGCCCACAGTTCGAGTCCCTGACCCAGTGACTTGAAAAATCACGCTGGACGCTTGCACATGCGTGTGTGCCCAAAGTCCCCAGAGGAGAATGGAGAAGGGATTGTGGTGTGGCTCTCCTCCTGGGGAGTGATTTCTCACTTTCCCTCTCTGTCTCCTGCTGCACCCCTGATGTCTAGTCTGGGAGCTCGCCCCAGTATTTCTACCAGGCCTCGTCCTGTCTGGGTTATCATCCCTGTTGAAGTCAGGGAAATAAAACAATCACAACTTTGGAATTCTATACGTCCCACTTTTCCCTAGCCGAAATAGGACAGCCATGGCAAGATGCCTGTGGTCCCCTCACCAACGTACAATCCCAGTGCCCTAGGGAGGGTCATTTTCTAAGGGGCTCAGGGGAGGGGCGAGTAGGTCACTCATGGTGCTTCCTCCAGTATTCTCCTCTCTCTAAATCATTATATTCTTTTCTCCATACTAAATGAGGAATTTCTAAGAAATCACACTTGGTGGCCAAGTGTGGGCAACCACTGAGTTCAGGTTTAAAACAACCAGGTAGGGAACCAGCAGATGGTGTAAGCACATGGTACATCACTGGACTCCCAATTCGAATCCCGGACCCGGCAGCTTAAAAAACTCACGCCAGGCGCGTGTGCGTGCGTGCCCAAGATCCTAAGAGGAGAATGAAGGAGAAGCGATTGTGGTGTGGCCATCCCCCTGGGGGGTGATTTCTTGCTTTCTGTCTGTCTCTCTCTCCGATGAGCAAACAAGCCCTATAGCAAAAATCTCTCTAGAAAAAACAACAACCAGCCAAACATCTAGAATCATTCTCACATACAGGAACTAACTAACTAAATTCAAGATTTCTGGTAAGTATACTCTCAGTAAATTTGGGTCCAAGACTCCCCAGTCAAGAGTCTAGTCGTCTGCTTATTCCCCAGGTGCCTTGGCACGTAAATTAGCAAAAGTTTGCGATTCTTTGTGTAAGGAAGCCTTCCCCTCCTGGGTTATATTTTGTGCTGTCCTTCCGGAGCATGCTAAAATCTGACTCTTAGGTCTAGAGGCAGTGGGCTGAGTTAGTACAGGTACAGAACTGGTATGCCCCTGCAATGTAGCTCCCACAGAGTATGCCGGTAAGGTGGGGGGACCAGCCTTATCGAATGGGAGGAAGCTGCTGTTTTTTTGTTTTGTTTTTAATTTTTTTTTTTTTTATGAGAGAGAGAGAGAGAGAAAGTGAGAAAGCAAGCCACCAGGCCCGGAATTCGAACCATGGTCAGCAATGTGGGAGTGTCCAGCACTTTAGCCACCATGCCATCTGCTGGTCCCCAAGCATCGCTGCTGTTAACAAGGGCGGCTTAGTGTGGGCAGGGGCCAGGACAGCCTCCATCTAGCCAAGTTCTCCATTTAACATTTCAGGGCCTCCCCTTTGCCTAGTCGCTGCTCTAACTTTGACCTAAGAAGCCTGATGAAGCTCTAAAGCCATTTATGTTGAAATCCCAGAGGATCAGATACTATATCTTATTTTCAACGACATCAACCCTGCAGTTACAAGGGATGTGAAATTAGTTCAGGGAAATTATAGAAGCTTTCAATCCAAGGAAGAACTTGAGATTGCCATTACTTTCTTTAAAATCTTCACTGTGGGGGTGGGAGGGTGGGAGGCAGCAGGTGTCATGGTGGTTAAGGCACTGGACTCACACACATGGCTGACCCCAGTTCGAGTCCCAGACCTGGTGGCTTGAAAATCACACTGGGGGGCCAGCAGGTGGCGTAGTGGTTAAGGGTGCTGGACTCCCACATGGCTGACCGTGGTTTGAGGCCCGGATCTGGTGGCTTGCTTTCTCACTTTCCTGCTCTCTCTCGCTCTGTCTCTCTCTGGTCCAATAAAATGCTTGAGCACGTGTGCCCAAAGTCCCAGGAGGAGGATGGAGGAGGGATTGTGGCATGGCCATCCCCTCTGGGAGGTGATTTCTCACTGTCTCTCTCTCCCTCTCTCTGGTGAACACATGTGCCCTAAGGCAAAAAAACTAAAACAATGTAAATATTCAGTGCAGTATTAAATGGCCAGTCATCTCCACAGTCTGTATTTTTTATTTCCACAGTGATGGCTACTAGGACAGCCTGTTGCCTTTAATAACTGTGAAAGGCAGAATGTGACCTGAATTAGAACACTTTTAAAAATTACCTATCAGTTGGGACCAGCAGGTGGCGTGGTGGTTAAGGCTCTGGACACTCCCACATGGTCGACCAGGGTTCAAGTCCTGAATCTGGTGGCTTGCTTTCTCACTTCTTCTCTCTCTCACTCTCATCCTCTGTCTCTCTCTGGTCAAATTAAAAAAATAAATGAATGAATAAATAAAATAAAATAAATTATATAAAAAAAGAAACTGAGATGGTATTAAAAACATATTTTTAAAAAATTACCTATCAGTGCCTACTTCTTCTTTTTTTATATTGTATTTCTTATTATTATTTTCCAATTTGCTACAGAGCATATGTGCTCGCAGAGAGAGAGAGAAAGTGAGGAAGCAAGCCACCAGATCTGGGACTCAAACCGCAGATGGCCATGTGGGAGGCCAGTGCCTTAATCGCCACGCCACCTGCTGGGCCCAAGACTTGAGAACATCGGAGAGCAGCAGATACAAAGCAGCTAGATAAAGCAAGGAGACAGATTCCTCTCTAAGCCTCCCGAAGGAACTGGCCCTGCCAACAACCTGATTTTAGCCCTCTAAGGCTCGTCTCAGACTGACCTACAGCATCGTAAGAGCCTCACTGTGTGTCGTGGTAAGCCACGAAATTTGCAGTAGTTTGGTATAACTGCATTAGAAAACTAACAGACGGGAGCCAGCAGGCGGTGGGGTGGTTAAGGGCACTGGACTCCCACATGGCCGACCGTGGGTCGAGTCCCGGACCTGAAGGCTTGCTTTCTCATTTTCTCTCTCTCTCTCTCTCACTTGCTCACTCGCTCTGCCTGTCTCTCTCTGGTCACATTAAAATAAATAAATAAAGTTAAATAAAATAACTCTTTAAAAAAAAAAAACACAGAAGAACACTAACAGACGCAGTCACACTGAGGGAAACGCTAATGCAGTTGAGGGTGCTATAGCAACCCGCGCTAACATGGAACGAGCTCAGACCCACAGAGCTAAATAAAAAGTGCAAACGAAGAGAGGAGTGCAGTGTGGCCCCCTGTGATAGCAGTCCACTAGCCACACACGGGGCCTCAGCGACCAACAGACGTCTTAAGGTGGTTGCGGCCCTGTGGGAGCCTTGTCCCTGTGACCACTTGCCTCCGTCAGGGGCCCAGTCTCCGAGAGGCCCTGGCTTATCACAGAAGCCCCCGACTGCCCACCCATAGAGATCCACCATGACTCCGTCCTGGCCCATAACTGGGGTCAGGAATAGCAGGTGAGGTTCAGGAAAGGTTTACCCGGACCTGCGAAGCTTTCTCATCCTCTCACGAAGCTTCCAGCAGAAGGCCATTCCCCACCCCATGGAGAGCGAGTGGAAACAGGGGTTCTCTGCAGCGGCACGAGTTCCCTCCAAGCTCATAGGAGCTCTAGACGTCACCGACCTTAAAGATGGCAGAGGGACACTGGGGCCCCCACTGAAGCCCCCTGTCCTCTGAACCGTCCAGCCACCACCACCCACTAGTCCTCCTGACTCTGAGAGCCACTCGACCTCAGCATTCTAATCCTCTAGGCAGATCTGCGTCTCCTTGGTAGAGTCCAGGGAGGCCCTCCCAGTCTGCACCCACAGCAAGGCCCAGCCAGGGACCAAGTCTCTGCCCCTGCCCTGGGCATACGATGGAGACGTCTCTCATTCAGGCATTTTAGGAAAGGGTCTCTCCATTCACCAGGGAAGGGGAGGAAAGAAGATCAGAAAGGGAGGGAGGGGGAGGGGAGAGAAGAAAGGAAAGGAGAGGAGGAGAGAGAAGTTGAGAATAAAAGGAGAAAGAAGGGGGCCGAGGGAGGTAAAGAAGGGGCAATGGAGGGAATGAAAGAATAAAAGTTGGGCAGGAAGACGCAAAATGCATAACTTGCAGAAGACCGATCTTCTAAAGCAAATTCAAATGAACCAACTGAAAAGCTACTAAAGCTGTAAGAGAATGAAAGAAGAGATCTGGGGCACACGCATGCCCTCTGGCATTGAGAAGAGGTACCAGGAATCTGTACAAGGCCTCGGGCCATCCAGCTAGGCTTCTCTGAGCCTTTCTCATCCACCTCCTCCTTACTCACAGGGCTGCAGCGCACCGGCCTCCTCCACGGGCCTCACATGCCCCTGCCCCTGGGCCTTTGCACAGGCCGTTCCCTCTGGCCCCAGATATCCACGCTGTTCACTTCTTCACCTCCCGGGACTATGCCAGAATCAACAAACGTTTTCTGTAAGGGGCCAGACAGTAACACTGGTAGACTGGTGTGGGCCAAGAGACACAACTGAGAATATTATGTAGATGCTTATGTAACGAGAAAGAAAACACATTTCCACAAAACATTTATTAATGAAATTCAAGATATATTAAGAACTAAATTTTTTTTTTCAATACAAGTCTACCAAGGAGGAGAATGAAATTCTTCTAGGGGGATAGCATTAAAGTTACTGTTCCCTACCATGAAATCGATTGCAAATGTTCTTCTGTTAAAAACCATTCTCAGTTTACAGGCTAAGAATCAGCAGGCCAGATTTACTCAGATGTTACTGCCTCAGAGAGGCCTTCCCAGGACTCCATTTTTGAGCCCTGTCCCCCTTTATCCCACTCTCATGTTCTCAATAGCACGTCTCACAGTCTGACCTACTTCCCATTAACTCACTGCTCTGTCAGCCGTCTCCCTCCTCCAGAAACTCCCCCTGGAAACCTCAGGTGGTCCCAGGACACCCTCAAAAATGGAGTCCTGGGCCTCCCTGTCCCCCTTTATCCCACTCTCATGTTCTCAATAGCATGTCTCGCAGTCTGACCTACTTCCCATTAACTCACTGCTCTGTCAGCCGTCTCCCTCCTCCAGAAACTCCCCCTGGAAACCTCAGGTGGGCAGATGTTTCGTCTGTCTCGTTCGTTCCTCGCTGTACTCCCAGCAGCTGGAGAAGCCCTGGCTGGCACGTAGTAGGCACTCGGCAAACCCCTGTTGAGTGAATGAAAGAACTAAATTGTCGTGAAGACAACTCATTAATACCTAGACGTGCTTAGAGCACTGCCCAGCACACACCACGTGACTGATAAGTATTGGTCGCTGTCCCTGCTGTTACTGGTGGACAGGGGCCCCAAACACCTGCAAGATGCATGCCCGACACCAGGGTGGACAAAACCTTCAGGCGCTGCCCAGTCCCCCAGCTGTCTCCCACCAGCCGCTCTCCCCACGGCCTAGGGACCCTGGCCCCCTAGCCTCCACCTAGTGCCCCTCCTCTGGAAAGCCATCCCGGCCACTTTCCTAGCCTGGGTGCCCTCACCCAGCACTGTCATTCTCCCAGACACCTGGGGCACTCAGGTGGTCCCTATCCTCCCCCACAATTCCCCAGACCCTCCAGTTCTCCTGGCCCTGCACCTGCCTGCCGGAACCCCGGGAAGCCCTGGGTCTTATCTCTGGCCTCTGCCTGCTCTTTGAAAACGCCCCTGAGGCCATCTGCTCCCTCTCACCTGCCTGGTCCTTATCCCCACAACAGGAGAAACCATGAAGCGGCGTGCCAGACCCACAACGCAGGAGAAGCTGGACTTGAATCCAGGACCCCGGCAGGGCCGAGGAGCAGAGGATCCTGGCTAGGGGCCCAGCCTACACATGCAAGAGAGAAATAGACGTCGACTTTTGGGCAGGCCAGTAGCTGAGCCCAGAAACCAGAGCCCCAGAGCCCCAGCTCCCTGCCTGCCTCTGCCCCGCCAGGCGTCAGGGGCTCGCACAGGAGCCGGCTCCGCCCCCTGGCGCGGCGCCAGCCGTCATCCCCCTGAGGTCAGCCACGGCGGCGATTTCGGGGAAATACCAGCTCCTTATTAAAAACAGGCGGTGGTCAGGCCCCCGCAGCTTTCCCAGTAGAAACGAGGGTGTTTGTTCCAAGAGGACAAGAGTGGGCAGGGCCTGGCCAGGACCTGGCGGGAGGCTTGAGCGGCAGGACCTGGTGCAGAGTCGGGCGCGCTGGGAGCCGCCTGGCCCCGGGAGGGGAGCGATGGCACCTCACGTGGAGGCTGAGCTGACCCGGGGGGGGGGGGGGGG